AAACTACTGGCTACCTAGCCCCGTATCGTATTCTGGTTTGGGTATGGCCACACCATGCACATCTCGTGTGACACACACCCCTGTTATCAGGGTTCATGTAACCCCGTTACATGAACTGTTATTCAGAATGTGTCAGTCGGCATTCAGTGCAGCGGGTTTGCCGTGCAGTTTGCACAAAGGCGTATAAAGAACTGCATGTAGATGCTGCAAAACATAGAGGTTACTTCCTTCGTAAGCTTCGTTATGGTCGAAGTATATCATGTTATTATATATATCGTTTGAGGAATGTATTACAGAAATCGAGCTCGTTATTTTCGAACCTTACACACCAATGGCATTGACTGAAAAAGTCAAGCGTCCTCGTACATCATTCACAAACGCTCAACGTCACGTACACATGCACAGCATTTTCAAATCTGCGATTACAAAGAAAAGCATCAACTAACCGTGCAACTTCGATTGTCCACGCGGGCGAAAGAGGCGCTCGATCTATCGCAGAAATCTTTATTTGCCTTGATCTCGAAAGTATTCAATCAAATATTTGATCGGGAGACCTTGACAAATGAAATATTGACACACAAGTCTCGTTGTACCGTACACAGTTCTCGCACGATAAGTTGTATGACGGTTGATTCAGTCACTGGAAGCGAAGCTACCAAATTGCTCTATTTTTCGATTTTGATACTTTTCTGACCTATTCAATTGGGTTGCTATGTATGTTTCATAAATATCGTGCATTTGTCAAGAACGCGTCGATATCGAGAAAATTTATTTCTTTAACTATGAATGATCTTCAGCGCCGACTACGAAGCCTTTAATCACGAAAAGGATGAAATGCGATTACATTACATGTTTTCGGACTGAACGTCTAGAGATGGTTGAGAAGTGCATTATGTTGTAATGCTGATGGATCGGAAATGCTGCCGCTTTGTCGGTGAGCAAAGGGGTGGAGGCTGGAGGTGAGAAGACTCAAGGTTCTCTGGGTACCATTAAATACCTTCTACATTAGTATAGCGCGATATTCTCTCCAGTGGCTCAATAAAGAATAAAGCAACAACGCAGCGTGTATTGCTCGTCGATATTGCTACAGTAAAAGCTAAAAATAATGGAAAAGAGCTCGCAAACCTTTGCTGGTTGAATTGTTACTATCTCTACCGGACACACCTTCTCCCTCGTAGCCACTACTTGCTCGTGTTGTTGTTGCCCTGTAAAGACGACCGACGCAACATCAATCTCATGTCGATGCTGAAATCGAAGTTTGACGTTGTTGGCGTAAAGTCTGCGAAATCTTGCTGCTATTGCTGTAAAGGACAATCAACGATATTTTTTACCGAACAATCGCCAAGTCTGTAAGTGCGAAAGCAGGATTTATGGCAAGAAGCGTAATCAGCACAGAGACTCATCTTTCAGCAAATTAATATCGCGTCTCTGTTAAAAAGGCTTTGATCATTACAATTGGGCCACGTTGGACTCATGATGCACTACGGCGTGTTTCTTTAGATCTGCTTCGACCTTTATGCCACTTCTTCTGGCTTGCCTGACTATAAAAAATATTTCCTTGGTGCATGGTCTCGAGTTCAAATCAAGCTTTACATCTAACTTCATTTCGATAAGACGATGTTGTTTATCGTTGCGTGTAATGCGCAAGCTAATGCTATTCATCACTGTTGGTTAAATTCGAGCGATCTTGTCCCTGTTTACGTATCGTATAATTGCGAGGAGTAGTGACAGTATCGCAGTGAGTTATTGGATGCACCTTTGAGAGGTTTAGGATGAAAAGGAAGCCCTTCAATTGAATGCAATACATAATTGCCGCGTGTACGTCTAATCGATCATACGACATTTTAACGATATGTTGATCCTCCCAACAATTACATATACTACTAGCACTGACTTCCAATTTCATACTATCGTCTTATTCACCAGGCTGTCATTATTCATCTGGACTTTATAAGGTAAAAAACGGTCTTGACTGGAAGTGTAGAGAAGGTAGGTCTCGTGCTTTCTTTGTCTGTTTGCTAATTGTTAAGTATGTTCAGAATACCGTCGTGTGTCATTACTCATTCTTTTACCTTTAGCGCAGTACCCAAGTCTCTCATTCCTTACGATGCAGAGGTTTCAAGCTCACCTGCTGGTTGTCATCCTTCTTGTGGCGATTGCTGAGATTGCATCGTGCAATAATCTGCGAGCTGAGACCGGTACCACTCCAATTGGTAAGCATTTTGAAAATGGCGAAGACAGAAACGAAGAGCGAATGGTTGGAGCAGTCAAAGAGGGTGCGCGTCTTTCTTTGTTTGGCAAAATTAAAATGCACTTTGTCAACAAAAAGATAGAGACAGCCTTGTCGAAGGCGGGAGCTATGGGCATCAAAGATACGAGAATAAAGACGATGCAGGAAAATCCGAAGTTAATGGAAGTCTTCCAGAGGGCTGAAAAACTACTTGGACCAGAGAGCGCAAAGTTGAGCACCATGAATATTATAGTTAAAGTTTTTGGAAAAGAAAGTGCTAAAAGTTTGTGCACAGCGCGAAATTGGATCTGCCCGACGTTTCTGGCTAAATCCAGTTAATGTGTAGGGCAAATACATTCTTTTCCTTTTTCATTTTTATTTTGGCCTAATTTTTCTGGCACTTAATATTGTTTTTTTACATTATCAACTTTAGCTGCTCTCTAAAGACTAGAAGCTTTTTAATATGTGGTACGGATGAGGGTGGTGGGACTCATAAAGATTCATGAGACCATCGCGGTTTTCCCCAGTCGGCCTCAGTTGATATCCTGATTTTCAAGGTTTTCAACGTGTACGTTAAATATTAAACCATTTTTATACAAAGTTAAAGTTAATTGCACAAAAATCGATTTATTTTTCCATCCAACGCTTAGACAAGCTAGTATGCTTCTATTAAGGAGAACTATGAAGGTATGTTTAAGCTTGCATTAGTTTTTTTTGTACTTTTAAGTGGATGTCGAACTTACAGTCTTGCTTATGTGGTAATGCAAATAAATCCATGAATCCAGACACAAAGCTCTAATGAAATCAATCCGACATAGTACAGATCCTCACCTTGACACAGACTTTGTTAACTTTGAGGATATACCAAAAGGCCCATACTCGTCATTTTGCTTGATCCTCTTCAGCTTTAAGCGGCACATGATTACTTTCCTTTGTTGTTATACCTTTAAGATGTACTATGATCCGAGTCAGCATGATGTGAATTCGCGTTGCCTAGACTATGCAGTCACATGTCTAGATGGGGATATCTTGCATTAAAGAGGCGATACGTACAGCTCATGAATAAGATGCGACATATGTCGTATTTTTAAAAGCTTTGGAATGCAATGATTTTGAGCTCAGATTATGTTTTATCAAAGCGATTAGATTGTGCCATGCCTTATCCAAATTGCCGCTCAAAAACACTGATACTCAAATGCGTTGGCTTTCTGTATCTAAGAACGGCTTTGGTCCTTTAGTCATATGTGTTTGATCTAGACTCAGTTGGTCACTTTGAACATATTTCCAAGTGGAAACCTCGCCTACCACACCAAACAAAAGAATGACGTCGGCCTCAGGGCCCGATTCCTTCTTCTCGGCTCGTGGAGACGTATGAAAAAGAGAGAGCAGTGGATGCTCATTCGAGCTTGCACTAAAACTGCGCAGTTCGGGTATAAACCTTTCAGTGCTCAGAACTTGAGCGCCGTAAGACAAAATGATAAAAATTCAGCTAAAGCTCAGATTGTGGCGGATACGCACGAGCACACATAGACATTTTTTAAACTTTAAAGCGAAGCCTAAGGCGATGACCCATCATTGGAGCATGATGAACACCACCATCCTCATTTGGCATTCTCATCATAACTGATATATGATATCGAATCCCATTATTTTCTGTTGCCTTGCGAGATTAAAAAAACTCGTATCTAGCTTTAATCGAAATGACCACTTCTTCGTCAATAGTATTATGGTCCAGGTTGACAAGGATAACGCGTCAAACTGCACCGTCTTGAGGTCAAGCTTCCCTGGTATTTTGTTAAATGGAAACACACCTTGTTAAATTTGTTGCATTGGGGCTTCAAGTGAGTAAGGTTTGCGGCACTGTTCTAGAAGATATTTCGCACTAACATCAACATCGTGAAATATCTAAGATAATAACTTAGGATCATGACACTATATTTTACGTCATCACGCTTCAGATATGATGGAAAGCTTTTCAAAGAACTTTTTTTAAACTTGAACAACCCAGCTGCTGACTTGGTAGATAAAAAAAGAGGATGTCCCCGGAGTAGTCGATTAATGTTTAGAACCGAGAAAAACTTGTCTGTGATTCATGGCAGTGGGTGCTGACATCTCGAAATTTTAACCCTATTCGGACTTGACTTCGACATTCTCACTTGATAAGGATAACGATCAGCGGCACAGCTATAGAGTCTACAACCTCGCAACGACACGATTTTGATGAACCGATAGGGGGAGAGAGAGTGGCGGACCGAAAAAGTATTGAAATTATATTGAGGAGTCGAATTCCCCCCCCCGACTTGCACACTTTCTAAATGGTGGAGCCATGGCACACTACTGCGAAAGCAAAGGTCATAAATATTGCCGTTGACTGGCTCAGCTACTAAACATTTCTGCATGACAAAAATACTCATCGACAGCTGCTTTCATTCTCTGTACAGGTCGACAATCCCAAGTGATTCTTGGCGATGAAAAAAGAACATTTATATAACCGCATATCTATATCTGTTTCAAGAGCAGATTTTTCTTCTTGAGACCAGAGAACATGTTGGACGCCTTGCCGACGATGAAATTTACAAGAGCGATCCCGCGGCTCAAGTCGCTTTTTTCGAGTCTGCAAGATCTCCTCATCTTTGGCCTCTTTCGATTTTTTAGATAGTAATTTGCCATCAGCACGAGGTTGGTGTTGGCGCACGACCATCGCGAACGATACATTCCCTGCCATTATAAGTAATATCATAGTTTTGGCGAAGAGAGATAGACCCATGGGCTGAGGGCAAAAAGGCGCCATATTCACGAACTTGACAATTATAATCTTCGTCTAGTGCGATTGCAAGAGATTCTTCTTCTGAAGTTTCGGGATATGATCAAAAAGTTGTGATTTGGCTGATTCATTACAAAGACCGGTACCAGTCAGGACAAGAACTCATTAAATTGACATAGCAGCTACTTGGGTTGGCATTGATTGGTATACAGACGACACAGGAGATCAAATATCACACAATCTAATCGTATGCATGACGATACAATTTATTACATTGGAATCCACTCTGAGATGACTAGAAGTTCAACAGTAAGTCTGAGTTGTTATCATTGGGGTTTGGAAGCAGTTTCGATCAGATGTTCAAGTATTAATGAGCTAGCCGTTCCATCAAGCCGAGGCATTACATATCCCATTTGCAGAAAATCACCAAGCCTTCGACTTGCACAAATTGCTTTACAAGCTCAACAAACGATCATCGCCGTGATGTTTCCACAATATTATCAAGTGCCGATCTTTTCTTGTCGGATGTGGTAATTTGCGGAGGCTGTTTTAGGTAATGGTTCATCAATCAATGCCTACAGACAAAGACGAGAATACTATTATAGCTGTCATTAACACTCGACCCTACGAATAGTTGCTCTCTCGAAGAAGTGATACTCAAAGCTCAGGTTGCTGGCTGTTAATAGCAACGTCATGGACTTTGTGATGACTTTAAGTTGCAAAGGGATACGATATTCGTGTGTTTACGACTGTGATCCCATTCAATATGTCGAAGGTATTGTTAAACCTTCAAAGAAAATTTTGATAGTTTACAGAGTGACATGTTGTCGCGTTTTGGGCCTAATTCCGGATATGATCTCATCCTAGGTATGGCTAGCCAGCCGCCCCACCGGAGATACACTCTGTGAGCCATGACGTACGAAAATACTTTTCATTCGTCTTGATAGATAGACACTCTAGACACTGCGATATTTTATCGTTTCTACCCGTTTCCTCTTAAGACCGATACTCACTGCGTTCGAGCTCTGCTCATGACATCTACCAATACCATTGCTATTATATTATTCAAATACTTTCTTACGCTCATTGCGCTCGCGCCAAGGCACTTCTACATTCAAGGAGAAATGCTTGTCGCGCCAGCCTATCTATTGTATTGATTGTGTAACGGGGTTACACGTACCCTGGGTGTGTATGTGCATGGTGTGACTGCACCTAAACAAGATTACGGTATGTGGCGAGGTAGCCAGTAGTAATGCATGTATTTAGATTTTACTATATATAATTAGTATATTTAGGAAAATCTAAACTTTTAAAATTTGGATAAACAATGAAATAAAATCACTGGATTTTAAACGGAAGAGCTAATTAGCCTTGGGTAAGGCAATAATTACTCTTGGAGT